GGCACTAACTCATGGGCTCCCTTCCAGCTCCACCCGCCAACTATGCAAAGATTTCCGAGACAGCCCAGCCAGCTAATGCCGATCTCCCCTGGCAGCTGTCGCCGATTGGACAGCGTGGCAATGTCATGTTTTCAACTCGTAGGATCGAAACCCACAGAGAGTATGCATTTTGGAAGACTTTGAGTCTGATTAGACAGGTGTACATATTTGCCAAAACTTACCCAATTGTACCTTTAAAATGGGTGCCTCTTGCCCTGGCCGGTTTGGCTCAGCGGTTAAAGCATCCACCCGAGGACCAAAGAGTCTCAGGTTCGATTCTGTTCAAGGGCACATACCTGGGTCTCAGTTCGTCCCCAGCCCTGGCCAGGATCATACGGGAGGCAACTAGTCCATGTGTCCCTCTCACGTCGATGTTTCTCTCTCTCTCCCTTTCTCTCTCCATCTCCCTCCCACTCTATCTGAAGATAAAATAGAAAAAATATTCTCAAGTGAGGATTTTTAAAAAATAAAATAGAAATAAATGAAATGGGTGCCTCTTAAGGTGATTTGATATTGTTTTCCCAGTAACTGGGAAGTTCAGGTGCCTTGAAGACTCAAGTATAAGCTTCAGGACATTTCCCGGGAAATCCTCAGGGGCCGAGGCTGCCGGGAAAAGTCGCAGTCATCTAGATGGTTCTCTCCTGTCTTGAAGAGAAGCTGACTGTTCCTCTTTCGGCCCGGGAGGCCTTGCAAAGCAGAGATAAGGCTGGGCTGCTGAGGGAGCCAGGAACCCATGACATCACCTCTGGGGCTCTGAGCATGTTCACAGTCAGGACCCCGTGGCGGCGGTGCGTGAGAGTCTGTGTGCAGTTGTGTTTTTCTGAGCAAGGTTTCCTTTGAATTGGAGCCAGAGTCTTCATAGTCGGAGTGGCAGCAGCTGCCTGAGATGACCCCCTCCTGGCTGATGGGCCTGGCTGTCACGCCCGGTTCTCCAGACCCCTTCCTGCTGTGTGCTGTCTCTTCCCCGAGCCAGGGTTCCTCAGCGGCCCCTGCAGCAGGCGGCACCCAGGGCACCCACCGTCTCCTCCCAGCCCACTCCTACCAGGCTGCCCTCCGTCCTGTCCCCTCCTCGTCCTGCTCTCCCAGTGTCCAGTATAGGTTCATCTTCGTGGTGGGTCCACAGGCTTATTTTATTATTTTTTAACTGTGCATATGCTTTATAAAATCTATTGGATGTGTGATATATTTCACCAGTTAACCCCCCCTCAAAAAATCTTAATAAATACATGAAAGAACTATGTGGGGGAACTGTTCAGAAGGCAAATAGATTCCTAGCTCCACTACGATTCTAATTCAGGAGACCTGCTTAAGACCTAGTTAGATGATGCTGATGCAGGTGGCCAAAGACCACCTTCAGATACCTGCCTGGGTTAAGAGGATCACAGGGTTTGGCATCAGACTGACTGGGTTCAACGCCCCAACTCAGCTGACTCCTGGCTGTCTGGGGCAAGTCCCCTCTCACGGTAAAATGAGGATGCTAAACTTTGCACAATGCCTAGGATCTACTGAGTAGACAACACAGGTTGACTATAATAATAATAATTATTATTAGTATTGCCTTCAGTGGAGTGTTGTCCCCAGATGTAGTAGTATCTATTAATCTGTCCCTATACAGATAAATTTTCCTGATGATTTTCACTTAGCAAAGAGAGACTAGTATTGTTAAAAAAAAAAAAACTTTTCCATAAGCTTTAAACTTTTCATATCCTTTAGTGAAATGTGAGAATCTAAGGGGAAAACCCTAAACAGAGGAGTTATATATAACAGTAAAATATTAGCCAACAATAGAGGTGGGATTACACATACTGTGAACTATCATAGAATGGAATGTTATGCAACCATTAAAGATAAATTTATAAAACATGTAAAAGTTCCTTTGAAATGTTAAATTTTAAAAATAGTCAGGCAGAGCCCTGGCCGGTTTGGCTCAGTGGTTGGAGCATCAGCCTGCAGTCCAGAGAGACCCAGGTTCGGTTCCCGCTAAGGGCACGTACCTCAGTTGCAGTTTGTCCCTGGCCCTGGTTGGGTCGTGTGGGTAGCAGCCACTCAATGTGTCCCTTTCATATCGATGTTCCTCTCTCTCTCTCTCCCTCCCTCCCACTCTATCTGAACAAAAAATGGAAAAATGTCCTCGGGTGAGGATAAAAAAAAAAAAAAATAGCCAGGCAGAGACTATATCTACCATATAATCAAAATTACATATACAAAAAGTAAACCAATTTTTTCATAAAAAACAATGGAAGAAAATAGGCCAAAATGTTCAAACATAGGTTGTCTTTGGGGTGAGAGATGGATGACTACTTTTTCTTCCTTTTTACTTTTCTGTATTTTGCAAATGTTCTATAACCGGAATTTTCTTTAATCTCATTTTTTTTTTTTTTTTAAATATGTTTTTAGCCCTGGCCAGTTTTGCACAGTGGTTGGAGCATCGGCCCATGGACCAGAGAGTCCTGGGTTCAGTTCCTGCTAAGGGCATGTACCTCAGTAGAAGTTTGTCCCCAGCCCCAGGTGGGGTCGTGTGGGTGGCAACCACTCAGTCTGTCTCTCTCACATGGATGTTTCTCTCTCTCTCTTCCTCCGTCTCTCTGTCCCGCTCTATCTGAAGATAAATGCAAAAATGTCCTCGGGTGAGGATAAAAAAAAATTTTTTTTAAATATATATGTTTTTATTGATTTATTTTTTAGAGCGAGAGGAAAGGAGAGAGAGATAGGAACATCAATGTGAGAGAGAAACATCAATCGGCTGCCTCCTTGCACGCCCCCTACTAGGAAATGAGCCCACAAGCTCCAGGCATGTGCCCTGACTGGGGAATGGAAATGGGACCTCTCAGTCCATGGGATGACGCTCAATCCACTGAGCCACACCAGCCGGGCTTTAATCTCACTTTTTTTTTTTTTTAATCCTCACCCAAGGACATTTTTCGATATTTTGTTCAGATACAGTGGGAAAGAGAGAGAGAGAAACATCGACGTGAAAGGGACACATCGAGTGGTTGCCACCCACACGACCCAACCAGGGCCGGGGACAAACTGCAACCGAGGTACATGCCCTTAGTGGGAACCGAACCCGGGTCTCTCTGGACCGCAGGCCGACATTTTACCGCTGACCCAAACCGGCCTGGGCTATTCTCACTTTTATTTATTTTTTTATCCTCACCCAAGGACATTTTTCAATTTTTTGTACAGATAGAGTGGGAGGGGGAGAGAGGAAGAGAGAGAGAGAGAAACATCGACGTGAAAGGGACACATCGAGTGGCTGCCACCCGCACAACCAACCAGGGCCGGGGACAAACTGCAACCGAAGTACGTGCCCTTAGCGGGAACCGAACCCAGGTCTCTCCTGACCGCAGGTGGACGCTCTAACCGCTGAGCCAAACCGGCCAGGGCTATTCTCACTTTTAAAAGATAAATTCTTTCGTTATATTTTCAAATCCAAACTAATTTAAGGACTCTGCCCTCAATTAGAATTCATAAAAGACAATAACATTTCCATATACAGTGCAGGCTATCAGAAGAGAGGCTTCAGCCCTGGCCGGTTTGGCTCAGCTGTTAGAGCGTCGGCCCACGGACCAGAGAGTACTGGGTTCGGTTCCCGCTAAGGGCACATACCTCAGTTGCAGTTTGTCCCTGGCCCCGGTTGGGGTTGTGTGGGTGGTAGCCACTTTATGTATCTCTCTCACATCAATGTTTCTCTCTCTCTCTTCCTTCCTCTCTCCTGCTCTATCTGAAGATAATGCAAAAAAAAAAGAAAAGAAAAGAAAAATGTCCTCGGGTGAGGATAAAAAAAAGAAGAAGAAGAGAGGCTTCAGAGATCTCATTCGGTCCTCCCATGCTACGGATGAAGAACCTGAGGCCCAGAGAGGCGAACTACAAGCCCAAGAGAACAGAGACAGCTGAGGGCTGGCACCGGATCCCAGGTCTTACCATGCCATCTAACACTTTTCTCATTTCATCACACTTGCCCCTCGATCTTTGCAATCTATATTGTTACATACTTTACCAGCAAAACCAGCATCACTTGTTAGAAATGCCGACCCTCAGGCCTTTTCCCCAAGAAAGGGAATCAGAAGCTGCCTGTTAACAAGATCACTGGGGCAAATTTCTTAGAGAAATAACAAAATAAGAAAGAGTGTCTCTTTGATGGCTCAATTTAGATGGAAGGTAACTTGGGGGACCAAATTAAAATAAAGCGATCTCAGTCCCAACACTCACTGACTTTGTGACATCAAGCATGTCTCTCAACCACTCTGTGCCTTGGTTCTGCTCATCTGTAAAGTGGGGATGGTAAACACAGCACGGTGCCCAGCAAGTGCAGAGGTGGAAACTGGCCTTTATAAACAGGGCTAATAAATGCTTCTTTTAGGCATGTTTCAAAAGGCCTGGCACTCTGTGAGAGATGGAGCTCCTTACACAGGGCTTGGCACATAGTAAGCCTTCTGTCAGTATGAGTTTAATAAATAACTAGCAAGAGCTCAGGTGACATCTCTCAGTTTTTGACTTGGGTTACCCCATTTTACCAGGGCTTAGCACTTTCAGAACTCCCAACATTCAAAACTGTGCCAGTTCCCGCCTCCCCCAGACAGTGAGGAGGAAGGAAGGTTGAAAGTCATAGATAAGCTTAACTCTTACTAAGACTTTATATGGTTGCAGACTTAATATGGCCCAATCATCCACCCTCTGGAATGACCCCACCTTCTTGTTACTCCGCCCAACGTTCTCCCTAAGGCACGCCCTCGGGGACCCGCCCCTTCTAGCCAGCCCCACCCTCTTCCCAAGGCCCCGCCCCCTCAGGCCTGTAGGCCTTGGCAACCACCTCACACCTCCGCCCCGCCCCGCCCCAGGGCTCGCGCTGCCGGCCCGCGGCCCCTGCCCACGCTACTCCGAGTGCGTGCGGACTGTCCGGGGCTCTCCACTGACGTCGGCACCCCCGGCCGGCCGGGAATCGGGCTCCTGCGTGCGGCCGCGCGAGGGCGGAAAGGCGGACGGAGGCTTGACCCCGAAACCGCGCCTCCGCCCCGCGTGAGGTAGGGCCCAGGGGCGGGAGGGGCGGAGGCCGAGGTCCAGGCCTGGAGAAGGGGTGGGGGCGCGGGGCGCAGGCCGCACGGCGGCGGCGGGCGGGGGCCGAGCCGGGCGGGGAGCGTCTGGACGCTGCTGTGGGCGACCCGGCGGCCGGGAGGAGAGGGCCGGGCGTGGGATAACGGTTACGGCTGCCCGCTGGCGCCGCGCGGCCCACGTGCGCCATCGCGCCGGAGCCCCGGCTCCCCGCGGAGGACAGGCAGTAAATATTTCCTGCGCCCTGCCCTGTGCGGGCGAGGTGAGGAGGAGGCCACGAGGGGGAGGAGGAGGTAGGGGACCGCGCGTGACCGCGCGGGCACCGCCCCCTCAGCGCGACAGGTCCGCGGGCCGGGAGGGCCGGCGCTCCGCTCTGGGTCCGGCCGCGGCGGCGACGGTGCGCGCGCCCCTCCTTGGGGAGAGGGGCGCCACCTGGGCAGGCCACGCCCTTGGTGTGCCCTGAAAGCTGGAAGGAGGGAGCGGTGGGCACGGCGAGCCCGAGCCCGAGGTGGACCCGTCTGTCTCTCTGGTTAGGCATCATCCTTGGGAAGATGGACGGAGAGAAGCGGCCGGCGCCCTCCTCGGGCCTGTTTGCGGACGGGCACCTGGTGCTGTGGACGCTGTGCTCCGTGCTGCTGCCCGTGTTCATCACCTTCTGGTGCAGCCTCCAGCGGTCGCGCCGGCAGCTGCACCGCAGGGACATCTTCCGCAAGAGCAAGCACGGGTGGCACTACACGGACCTGTTCGGCCACCCCACGTACTGCTGCGTGTGCGCGCAGCACATCCTGCAGGGCGCCTTCTGCGACTGCTGCGGGCTGCGCGTGGACGAGGGCTGCCTCAAGAAGGCCGACAAGCGCTTCCAGTGCAAGGAGATCATGCTCAAGAGTGACGGCAGGGCCCTGGACGCCATGCCTCACCACTGGATCCGGGGCAACGTCCCCCTGTGCAGCCTCTGTGCGGTCTGCAAGCAGCAGTGCGGCAGTCAGCCTAAGCTTTGTGACTACAGGTATGGTGGTTGTGGGTCCTGGCCGTCCCGCGATGTGCGGTAGGAGTCAGGATTTCAGGGCATGAGCGTAGAGGCCTGCTTTGATCTCTGCAAATGGCCTGCAGTGCCCGCTCGGAGGAAACAAGCTGATAAACATTCCTGGTATTGTACAAGCAGGGCAGCTTTGCAGTAGTCCTATGCTGAGATGATGCCAGCCTCACTCCTCAGCCAAGCTGCCTTTTCATCTGCCACTGTGTGGGCTCTCAGCTTTCATCCAGAGGTCTCTACAGCGTACTTCATGGCCACTGTGTGTTATAGTTTAGCGCTTGTGCTACTATCTACATTTTATGTAAGAAAAAAAGGAAGTATGAACAAGCTAACTTTTCCCTAGAGTCACAAAACTGATTCATTCTCAGTGTTGTATTACGAATGTACAAGGAAGACAATTGTCATTCCAAAGCAGCACTTTAAGTACTTCTTCAAATATAGGCATCTATGCTATAGTGACATGTGACACTTAAAAATATACTCCTTTTGTCAGTGGTCTTTCCCGTCAGGTAGCATCTTAGAAAAGTGACTTTTAATGGCTTTTAAATAGACACTGAACAACATATTTATCTTCTTAAATGTTATCTGAAAACAAGTAAAGGTCATGTTAGAGATTGGTTAGAAAGGGGGGAGGTGATACTGCTTTGCAGATCATCTATTCCTAACTCATTTTACAGTTGAGAGAATTGTGCTCAGTGATAAAATAGAATTCTAACCCCCTGGACAGGGTTAGGAATGATATTAATAGATAGCCTTGTCTCAGCCTTAAATCTGGATATCTTCATTGTAATGGGTTTTATTTCTGACAAGTAGAAAGGCCCCTAAACCTGTTTAAGAACTGATACAGGAAGTTAGCACTAAATAGCAAGTGACTTTTCCTTATTTAAAAATCCTTTTTTAAAAATTAGTGTGAGCATTGTTAGGTCAACACCTATTTTTAAGTAGTTTTACCCATTAGATATAGACTTAAGAAAACTTTCCTAAAACAATATATTTTAAACAACCACAGAGTTTTGATACTATTCATTTTTACTGGGATTCTTTGAAATTTACACGTTGTCCTGTTCGCATCCAAGAGAGCAAGGTTACCAATGTCTTTATTTGTTGTTGTTGTTGTTGTTGTTGTTTTTGTTTTTCTTTATTGATTTTTAAAGGGAGAGGTAGAGAGAGATAGAAACATCAATGAGAGCCCTGGCTGGTTTGGCTCAGCGGTTAGAGCATCAGCCTGCGGTCCAGAGACCTGGGTTCGGTTCCCGCTAAGGGCATGTATCTCTGTTGCAGTTTGTCCCCGGCCCTGGTTGGTCGTGCAGGTGGCAGCCACTCGATGTGTCCCTTTCACATCAATGTTTCTCTCTCTCTCTCTTCCTCTCTCTCCCTCCCACTCTATCTGAACAAAAAATGGAAAAAATGTCCTCAGGTGAGGGAAAAAAAAGAAAGAAACATCAATGAGAGAGAACATAGACTGGCTGCCTTCTGCATGCCCCCCGCTGGGGACCGGGCCCACACCTTGGGCATGTGCCCTGACTGGGAATCAAACCAGCAACCTATGGGTACGTGGGTTGACACTCAACCACTGAGCCACACCAACTGGGCCCAATGTCTTTTATTTATTTATTTATTTATTTTTATCCTCACCCGAGGACATTTTTCTATTTTTTGTTCAGATAGAGTGGGAGGAAGAGAGAGAGAGAGAGAGAGAAACATCAATGTGAAAGGGACACATCGAGTGGCTGCCACCTGCGGCTGCCACCTGCACGACCAACCAGGGCCGGGGATAAACTGCAGCCGAGGTACGCGCCCTTAGCGGGAACCAAACCCAGGTCTCTCTGGACTGCAGGCCGACGCTGTAACCGCTGAGCCAAACCGTCCAGGGCAGGCCCAATGTCTTTAAATTGTGTAGTTCTCTCTGTAGGTAAGTTTTAGTCTTCAGGAGTTGGGATTCATTGAAAAGAAGACATGAATCTAGCATAGTTTTATTTCCTTCCCTTCTTTGTGTCTGTGCAGAATTAGATAAAAATGGCTTCCATAAGTATCTTAACTGTGTTTCATATACTCCTTCACAAACATAGTGCGCTGATCCTCCACCCACGTGATCTTTCTAGAAATTCATAGCAGACGGAGCACCTGCTCTGCTTAATACCCTTCCATTGTTCCCATCATATACACTGATGGTGTTTCAGTGTAAATTCAGAGTGCTGAACATAGTCCTTCATGCTCTCTGCACCCTGCCTGTCCTTTAAGTCTCACCTGGCACCACCTACCTTAAACTTTTATGTACTAGGAACGTCAGGCAGGCTGTCCTTTTCATTCTGCCCTTTTTCTCCTACAGGCTTTCCTCTCTGTCTTAAGCATCCTGCTCCTGGTTAGCTTCCATGCATCCTCAAAGACTCACCTCGAGCCCTTTCCTCCAGGATCCCTTGCCTGATCTTCCGCTCACCTCTGCCCCCAAATTTTTCCCTCTTGTTGATGACATAATATCCTGTTTCTCAGTGGTTCTCAAAGTCCCCAGAACCACCAGCAGTAGCAGCACTTAGAAACTTGTTGGAAATGCAAATTCTAGGGTTGCCAGATTTAGGGAACAAATTAAAACAAAAATTTTTGCTGCATTTGGAACATACCAAAAAATTATTTATCTGAAATTCAAATTTAACTGAGCACCTTCTATTTTTCCTGGCAACCTTAGACCCACTGAATCAGAAAAGTGGGCTGGGGACCCGCAATCTTGGTTTTAACAGGCCCTGCAGGTAATTCTAAAGTTGGAGAACCACCGCTATATTTATGTAGCTTTTTAAACATGAGCCTCTATCCTTAAGCCTGTGTCCCCTCCCCACCCCCCTGAGCACAGTGAATGTTTATGCTGATAGATCTCCTTTTCCTCTTTAGCTTGTTCTTACTAGTACTGAGCAGTCTGTTCCAGGCATGCTAGAACCCTTCATCCTGATTGAAATTGTCTCTGTGTAATTGAGGAAGGGTTTATTATTCCTAGGAGAAAAGAGCACAGTGTCCTGAAGTGGTATGTATTCTGCACTGTTCTGATTTATTTTAGCCAGTCATTTTATTCAGGATTACAGTCAGCTGTGACCTTCTGTGGGAATGAAATATTTTAGAAAGAGAAACAAGATAAATATCTATGTAGAGCTTTTAAACACAGGCCAGACTGTCTCTCTCTGTCCCTGGATTTTATCAAGCACTGTGGTGGTGGTGGGGGCTCCTATTCTTGGGAAATCTGAGATTTTAAATGAACTATGAAGACTGTACAGCAAGTTAGCATTTCAAAGGGCGGTAATGACAAGTGAAACCAGATTTTGAAGCCTGCAGCCCAGTTGAACTCTGCAGATAAGTGACAAAGGCCCTTTAGTTTATGCTCGATCAGTCATTACTTAGTTTTCACATAGTAAGCATCAGTTTTATGCCACACACTGTGCTAGATTCTTACTTTCCTGCAGACATTTTTCTTTTTTGTGTGTTTTCTTGCCTCTACTCCCAACGACCACAAGGTATTTCTGCACCCAGCATGCTATCACTCCCTTCTCTTACTTCCTTTTTGTCTTCTCACTTCTCTCTAAACTAAAATAGGAAATTTGGTTATATTTTTAAATAGTCATCACATTTATCAAATAAACCTTTGTTCCTTATAGTGCTTTGTCTCGTTAGGAAAAGGTAAGGTGCCTCTTTATTTATAAGCCTTTCCTCATTATCTCCCACTCCACTCCCCAGCTCCCCCCACACACACTGTGATTCATAAAACAAAGCTTCTGACTCTTAGAAGGTAATTACATTGGCAGCTTTAGTCTCAGCTTTGATCTTCAATTTTATATGTCTGTGCTCTGTTGGTATGTGTTTATGCATTTTACTAATTATCTGAAACAGTGAACGATAGCAAATCATCTAGAACAAAAGTAGGCAAACTTTTTCTGTAAGGAGCCAAAACTAAGTTATTTTAGGTTTTGCAGGCCATATGGTCTGTCATAATTACCTAACTCTACTATCCATCATAGAATAAAGCCAGCCATGGACATACATAAATGAATTGTATAGCTGTTTTCCAATAAAACTTATTCACAAAAGTAGGTGGCAGAAGTATAGGGCTTCACAGCATAAAAGCATTGAATAAACCACAAAGGGAAGTATAGATCCGTCTATCAAAAAATAAGTACATTTAAAAATAACTTTGAAAGAAAACTGAAACTAGTTTGCAGTAAATATGACAGGAAAGAGGTTGATATCTTGCATAAATAAAAAGTGCATATACTTATTAAAATAAAGGACATAAATCAATTCACAAAAGAAGACCCCCCCCCAAAAAAAAATTCAACTTCACCTGATGATCAGAGGCATCCAAATGAAAACAAATACTTTTTGTTCTATCAAATTATCAAAAAAAAGTGTTAAGTCTTAATGAGCAATATTAGCCAGTGTTAGATATGGTGGATACCTTCATGCACTGATAAGCATACTGGACAGACATAGCAAGAACCTTAGGAAAATACATAGCCAGCAATTTAGTAACTTGATTTCTATGAGTCCAGAAAAATAGTCTCATTTATGTTTAAGGTTGCTCATTATGTTTTTATACTTAGGACAATAAACTATCTAAGTGTTTTGGAGAAGAAAAACAGAAAAGGGTTAAGTAAATTATGGTATATCCTTATGATATTATTCATTCTTTGCAAACCATGTTTTTAAAAAATGCTTAATAGTATAGGCCATATTCATGATATATTGTGGGAAGAAAGCAGTCCTATCCAGATATTTATACATCATATCCCTAACCTGAAAACCAAACATTTATGCACTGTAAAACCAAGAGTAAGTAGATCAAAAAGTTAAGAGTAACTATCTCTGAATGAGTTTTATTTTATGTCTTTCTCAAGCCTAAATTGATATTATCTCATTTTAAATACAATTTAAAATTTTATACAAGTAGTTCATGAATATATTCTGGTTTTTAGAAACTCAAGCAATTTACAAAAGAATATAGAGTAAAAAGTGAATGTTGTCATCCCTCAGTCCCACTTGTATTCCCAGAGGAAACCACTGTGAAATAAATCAGTGAGTATCCTTTCAGATTATTTTCAATGATAGCACACTATTTTAAAGTTAATAGTAGAGCAGTGGGCGGAGGTACCATCCGCCACATAAACCATCTTTTTTAGTTTGAAAGCAAGTATCAACAAAGGTTATCTTGCAAGTTATTTTGCAGTTTTCTCTTTAACAGATCATGCAGATAACTCTTCCTTCATTAGTGAATAGCAGTAATTACCTTGATAAATTTGAACATCCAACCGGAAAAAAACAATCTTAAAATAGAAGGCCAAGATTGTTGATCTTGGGGTGAAAGAGTAATTATCCTCTTTTCTTTCGCTTACTCATTTAACTAGGACCGTTCTGTTCAGCCTGCCTGCTTTTGTTGTGTGGTCAGAGCTGCCTTGTCTGTGAGAGGTTAACCAGGGAGCTGACTAAAGGTAGAGACCCAGGGCCTGTACCAGCACTACTCCCTGCTGCTTTCAGCACCCAGACGGGAGGCAGATCTGAACGTACTCGTCTTCTGTCTGTATTTCAGATGCAAACATTAGATTAGTTTTGTGCTAACTGCCGATTAGAAATGGACTCTTTTACTATATTGACTAGTATTCACAGATGTTTTCAAATTGGACCCTGAGGAATGCTTCAAGGACCAGGGCAGTGGGGCATTTAATCAGTAAGGACTTTAGGCCTCACAAACCTAATTCAACCAAAGCACAAATAAATAATACACAGAGCCATTGTTCTAGATCAGCTTTTGTTTACGTGGGTCATATCTATTGATATTTACCATGATATAAATTAAAACTGAGAACTTATTTAAATATTCATTTTTAAAAGATCGATCGTGGTAACATAAATACTGTATTTTAATCAAAATAAAATAAATGAAAATCTAATGAGAAGAGTGACAGTTTTATATTTTTGGTATATCTCTTTGGCTGAGAAGCCAGCTCAGATTTTCCTATCTGCTTCTGCATTCAGTTTATTTATGTAGCACATGTCATACAGCATCTGGAAAACGCCATTGTACACTTTTGAGAGAATGAGGATAAAATAACATTGCATTATTAAAATGATTTTAACCTCACAGATGCCCTGAAGGGATCTGGGGCCCTAGACCATCTTTTAAGAACCACCATTAAACTGCCAAGTATGTTCAAACTTCATTGCTCTGTTCCTATTCAGATACAATTATAAATATTTTGCTTGCCAGATTTAATGCTCAATAGTGATGAAGTTACCGTTTTAATTTTTTGGTCTGAAGATCAGGAAGATTATGGTTTTAAATGCATTACTCTCTCTGTTCCTTCCGTCCCTCAGGTGCATTTGGTGTCAGAAAACTGTCCATGATGAGTGCATGAAAAACAGCTTAAAGAATGAAAAGTGTGATTTTGGAGAATTCAAAAACCTCATCATTCCACCAAGTTATTTAACCTCTATTAATCAGATGCGTAAAGACAAAAAAACAGATTATGCAATGGTAATCAGAGTTTACTTGTCCTTCTGTAATTGATTTTCAGGAAGTTGTTCAGGTCAGTGAGTGACAGTTACAGCGGTGTGTATGTAAGAAGAATCATTATGGTAAACCATACAACCCTACCCAGTTCCTAGAGGTGTGCCACAAATTTTGGCTCTCGAGTTCTTTCATGTCTAAAAGGAAATTGGAAATGTTATATTAGTGGTTTCTAAATCACTTCCTGCTTCTGAATCACTTGGGAAGCTTTTTAAAAATACAGGTTCTTGAACCCACCTCCATCACCATGTTTTAATTAGTAGGTAGGTCCCAGGAATCTATATTTTTTTAAGGTCCTCAAGAGGATTCTGACAAACAGCCAGGTTTGGGGTACATGATTGTTGTCAGTGAAGAGAAAACATAGATTTCCTCACACATTGTTCTAAAAGAACTTTCCATTTGGAACTTTCGATAGGATGCCTAGAGATGCGTTTACATTGCACATTATATGGTCCCACAGATAATGTTGAACATTAAAGCTGTTGACAATACTTTGCAGTATGCTTGTATATGAAAATGGATGTAAATTTATTTCTCAGTCTTTATGTAGCTCTCAAGGAATAACGTAAAATTTTGTATTTATTTTCTACTTGAATATGCCAAAATAATTGAACCATTTTATTTTAAAATTAAATTGTGTCTTTTCCAAGTTAGGATTTTACATCTTAAATGTCATCTTTGTCAATATCCCTGCAAAAGAGGCATTTTAAAATTTAAAAACGTGTAATGTTGTGATACATATTTTTTTAATATATTTTTATTTATTTATTTTTTTTAGAGAGAAGGGAGAGGGAGAGAGAGAAGCATTGATCTGCTGCCTCCTGCATGCCCCCTCCTAAGGATCCAGCCTACAACCCAGGCATGTGCTCTGATCAGGAATTGAACTGGTTGGTGACCTCTTGGTGCATGGGACGGTGCTCAACCAACTGAGCCACACCAGCCAGGGCATGATACATATTTTTAAGTGTACAACCCCTATCCCTGGCCAGTGTGGCTCATTTGGTTGGAGCATCTCCTGTACATCATCGGAGGGTCACAGGTTCAATTCCTGGTCAGGGCACATACCTAGGTTATGGAGTTCAATCCCACGTCGGGGCACATACGGGAGGCAACTAATCAACATTTTTCTCTCATATCAATGTGTTTCTTTTTTTCTCTCTCCCCTTCTCCTTTCCTCTCTCTCCCTGGAATTAAATATATAATATATATATATATATATATATATATATATTCTTGGATGAGGATTTTTTTTTATTATAATAAAAATAAGTAAATGGCCCTGGCTGGTTTGGCTCAGCGGTTGAAGCATCGGCCTGTGGACCAGAGAGTCCCAGGTTCGGTTCCCGCTAGGGGCATGTACCAAAAACAAAAAAACAATAAAGTCTTGTTTTAAAAATAAATAAGTAAACATACAACCCCTATGTATATATCTGAATTTAATCTGAGATCACAAAAGGGTAGAATCACTAAGAAAAACCACAGAACAACTCCATTAGTGTTTACATCCACAAGGAGCGGGGGAGAGGAAAGAAACTGTTCACTTACAAAAATATTAATTTCATTTGACCTTGGGCTTTGTACAAGGCTGGATTCTTGAATCTATTTCTGAGTACCCCATTTGGGGCAGGGAGGGACTTGCAAACTAAAATATATTAGACTACATCCAGAAAAGGACAGTCAAGGTAAAAGAGCAGAAAAAGTCAATGTCCATTCTACGAATGGTTGAAAGAATTTGAAATGTATTGTCCAGGAGACAAAACTAGTAAAAGATATTGTGTCTCAGGTGTTTGAGCATGGGAATTATTTGGAAAAACAAATAAAAGTATTTCTAATTGCTTCAGAAAGCAAAATTAGAACAATGAATAAAAGTTATTGAAAAATATTTGTCAATTTAACTCAAAACTTTCTAATAATTTGATTTAGCAGAATGGGCTGCCTTATTAGTGAGTTCCTTGTCATATAAGTATCCAAGCATAGGCTGGAGGACTTAGCTAGAATAAAGTAGAAGAGAATTGTACATTAAGTGGAAGTTAAATTTGTTCATCTCTAAGGTCCCTTTCCATTCTTAGAAGTCTTTGATTTTTATATTGTATTGATTTACTGGGATAGTTGTTTTTCTCTCAGCAAATTCCAGCACTATTGTTATCAATAAATGAAAAATTATTGAAAAAAGAAATAGAGGAAGATATAAAAAAGTGTAAGCACATACTTTGTTCATGGATTGGAAGAATTAACATCATTAAAATGTCCATATTACCCAAAGCAATCTATAGATTCAATGCAATCCCCATCAAAATACCAACAACATATTTCACAGAACTAGAACAAATACTTCAAAAGTTCATATGGAACCAAAAAAGACCCTGAATAGCCACAGCAATCTTGAAAAAGAAGAACAAAGTTGGAGGGATCACATCACCAGATTTCAGGTTATACTACAAAGCTACTGTAAACAAAACAGCCTGGTACTGGCACAAGAACAGGCATATGGACCAATGGAACAGAACAGAGAACCCAGAAATGGACCCAAGACATTATGCTCAATTAATATTTGACAAAGGAGGCAAGAGCATACAATGGAGTAAAGATAGCCTCTTTAGTAAATGTTGTTGGGAAAATTGGACAGCTGCATGCAAAAAAAAATGAAACTAGACCATCCACTTACACAATACACAAGAATAAACTCAAAATGGATAAAAGACTTTAATGTGAATCCATAAAAATCCTAGAAGGCAATGTAGGCAACAAAATTTCAGACATCATACGCAGCAGAATTTTCACTGATAACATCACCTAAGGCAACAAACAAAGGGAAAAATGAACACATGGGACTACACCAAACAAAAGCTTCTGCACAGCAGAAGAAACAATCATCAAAATGGAAAGGCAACCCACTGGGAGAGCATAATTGTCAATGATATATCAGATAAGGGGTTAATTTCCAAAATGTATAGAGTGCTCATACAACTCAACAAAAGGAAGACAAAGAACCCAATTAAAAAATGGGCAGAGGAGCTAAACAGACACCTCTCCAAACAGGATATACAAACGGCCAAGAAACATATGAAGAAATGCTCAACATCACTAATCATCAGAGAGATGCAAATTAAAACAACAATGAGGTATCACCTCACACCTATCAGAATGGCTGCATCAACAAATCATCAAACAATAAGTGTTGGTGAGGGTGTGGAGAAAAGGGAAGTCTAGTACACTCCTGGTGGGAACGCAGACTGGTGCAACCACTATGGAAAACACTATGGTGTTACCCAAAAAAATTAAAAATTGAACTGCCATTTGATCCAGTGATCCCACTTCTAGGAATATACCCTAAGAAGCCTGAAACACCCATCAGAAAGAATATACGGCCCTGGCCAGTTTGGCTCAGCGATTAGAGTGTCGGCCTACGGTCCAGAGAGACCCAGGTTTAGTTCCCACTAAGGGCACATACCTCAGTTGCAGTTTGTCCCCGGCCCTGCTTGGGTCGTGCGGGTGGCAATCACTTGATGTGTCCCTTTCACATCGATCTTTCTCTCTCCCTCCCACTCTATCTGAACAAAAAATGGGAAAATGTCCTCAGGTGAGGATAAAAAAATATATATATGTACCCCCATTTTTATAGCAGCACTATTTATAATAGCTAAGATCTGGAAACAGCCCAAGTGTCCATCAGTAGACAAATGGATAAAAAAGTTGTGGTACATGTACACAATGGAGTACTATGCAGCTGTAAGAAAGAAAGATCTCTTATCCTTTGAGATGACATGGAGGGACCTGGAAAGTATTATCCTAAGCGAAACAAGCCAAGCAGAGAAAGACAAATATCACATGATCTCACTTATTTGTGGAATATAATGAACATAACAGTCTGAGGAATTGGGTAGACCCAGAGACATGGAAGTAGGGTACAGACTGACAACCCTCAGAAGAGGGGGTGGTGAGGGGAGGGAAGAGATAAACCACAGAACTTATATGCATGTACGTATAACCAATGGACACCGACAACAAAGCCGGGTATGGGGTGGAGGGGATGGGGAAGAGGCTGTCAATGGGGAAAAAAAAGGAGAAACATCTGTAACAAAAATAAATTAATAAAAAAAAATTTTTTTTAAAGAAATGAAAAATTGATAAATGGAGGTGGAAGGAGACTTGACTTGGGGTGGTGAACACACCATACAGTATACAGATGATGTGTTGTGGAATTGTACACCTGAAACCTGTATAGGTTTGTAACCAGTGTCACCCCAATAAATTCAATGAAAAGGGGGAAAAAAGAAATGAAAGATTTATTGCTCACCAGTTTTGAGATATTTAACCTTTTTCATTCACCTTAATTTTGTAGCTAGCCTATAAGCTTGGAAAGCAGTGGACTCCGTTGATAATCCTGGCCAACTCTCGTAGTGGGACCAACATGGGAGAAGGGCTGTTGGGAGAATTCAGGATTCTTCTAAACCCAGTCCAGGTAACCAAGAGAAAACTTTCTTTCTGTGTTAGTCTTTTCATTTTCCCTAAATTGTAATGGTTATTAATACTTTAAATCACCTGATTATAGGAAAGAAGAATAATTATAAAAGTTTCAAACCATTCGAATATATTGAGAAAGAGGAACTCATGATGAGGATAGAAAATGGTGCAACCACATTAGATAACAGTTTGGCAGTTTCTTTTTCTTTTTTTGCCTCAAAAAGTGACATTTATTCAAAGGGAAAAAAAATGACAAAATGTCCATCCCTTGGCTCCCTTCCCCCCCAACCCCCAGTTTGGTAGTTTCTTAAAAAAAGTAAACATATATTTACTATACAACCTGTATAGTAAAAATGAAAACATGTTTCACAAAGGCTTTTATGCAAATATTCATAGCATTATAGCCAAAAAGTAGAAACAACCCAACTGTCCAAGAAGCCAGATGCAAGGGGCCCATATCGTATGATTTGATGTATGTGATCTGCCCAGAAAAGCTATAGAAACAGTATAGATTTCTATACTGTCGCCTGAGGTAGGAAATCAGGAGTGTCTACACATGGATACCAGGGTCTTACTGGAGCCACAAAGGTTTTTTGTGGGGTTTTTTTTTATTCTCACCCGAGGACATTTATTTGTTCATATAGAGTGGGAGGGAGAGAGAGAGAAACATCGATGTGAAAGGGACACATTGAATGGCTGTCACCCACACGACCAACCAGGGCCGGGGACAGACTGCAACTGAGGTACATGCCCTTAGCGGGAACCAAACCCGGGTCTCTCTGGACTGCAGGCTGACCCTGTAATCGCTGAGCCAAACCAGCCAGGGTGGAGCCACAAAGGTTTTAAACTGCATTATGGTGGTAGTTGCACAATTCAGTAAACTTCCTAAAAATCAGTGAAATGTTCACTCGAAATGGGTGAATTTCATAATATATAAATTATACCTCAACTTTAAAATAAGGCTAAAAGGACTGCGCCATTGAGATTGAGGTTACATGCCAGCAGCTTCTGCTTCGAAAAGCTAAACAACTCATTGTGCAACAATCAGAAATGCACAAACTTTTTTCCTTCTGATATGTATTTTTCCATTTCAACGTTATACAACTTTAAATTATAAAAGTAAAAAATGGAAAGAGTAAATCACCTGTAGTTTCTTCACAAAAATACATGAGATGTTTTCATTTGTCTGTGTTCTTTCCATGAATTGCCTATGCATTACATGTTAACATGACTATAACAGTACTTTAAATACAGATTTGCATAGTTTTCTTTACTTAAAGGTATATTTTCCATGTTGTAACATAGTCCTCATAATTATATATGTATTGACTAAGATAATTAATCAAATGGATATATCATATATGTTTATCCAGTCTCCTGCTGTTGGAGGTTGAGTTTGTCTCTGAGGCTGTACAGTTATAAATAGCACCATGTTGAATACCTTTATATGATATTTTCATCTTTTAAAATATTTTCCTAGATCATTTACAGAATTATAGATATGAAGGATCCTGCGTCTTTGTCATTTTATGCATATCACAAAATTACTTACCAGAAATGTGTACTAACTTGCACTAGTGAGGTTCTTAAAAATTCAGAATAAAATATGAAGCACTAGTTAAAGGTGTACTTAGCACATTCTGGTTTCAAGTGAATGGAGAGGAGGGAGAGTTGTAGAATAGATAGACTATAGGACAGCATTTGTATGTCAGCACTTAATTATCAGGTAATCATAGGCAAGTTATTTACCTTTGCTCTGCCTCGATTTCCTGGTCAATAGAATGAAGCTTACTCATGCTTTTTGGGGTCGGTGCCAGGATGAGCAACAGTGAATATAAAGAGTCTGGCATGATTCCACTTCTGGGTATTTATCCAAAGAAATTCAAAACACTAATTTGAAAAGATATATTCATCCAAATGTTCATTGCTGCATTATGTACAATAGCCAAGATATGGAAGTAACCTATGTGCCCATCAATAGATGAGTGGATTAAGAAGTGGTGCACATGTACAATGGAATATGACTCAGCCATAGAAAAGAGTGAAATCCTGCCATCTGCAACAACATGGATGGACCTAGAGGGTATTGTGCTGAGTGAAATAGGTCAGACAGAGTAAGGCAAATACCATATGATTTCACTTGTATGTGGAATCTAAAGAACAAAATAAACAAACTAAACAGAATTACAAACTCATAGATACAGAGAACAAATTGTTGGCCACCAGATGGGAGGGGAGTTGGGAGAACTAGGTGAAGAAGGTGAGGGGATTAAGAAGTACAGATTGGTAGTTACAAAATAGTCATCAGGGTGTAAAGTACAGCATAGGGAATATAGTCAATAATATCGTAAAAACTGTATGGTGTCAGGAGGGTACTGGACTTACAAGGATGATCACTTTGTAAGTTATATATGTCTAATCACTATGTTGTACACCTGAAACTAATATAATGTATGCCAACTGTAATAGGAAAATAAATTAATTTTTTTAAGTAAAAAGGATGTATAGAAAAAAAAGGTCTGACATAGAGCCTGGCATGTTGTTACAGATAAATGCACAGCAGCCAGTTTTGTAATTTAGCCGTGTCTGTGCCATCTAGAGGGAAGTCATGCTCACAAATGGAGGACAGTATGGGATAAAAACAGTTGTTTTCTTTTCTTTCATTTCTAGGTGTTTGATATAACAAAAACTCCCCCTATCAAAGCCCTGCAACTTTGTACTCTTCTTCCTTGTTACTCAGCTCGAGTACTTGTTTGTGGAGGGGATGGGACTGTGGGCTGGGTCCTGGATGCAGTCGATGAAATGAAGATTAAGGTATCAGCCTTTAAGACCTAAGTTACAAGTCATAAGTTAGGCTGACCACTTGCCTTTCACAGAAGCATTTCTAAGATAAGTACACAATATTTTTGGTTCTATTTTTTGTTATTCAGATGAAGATGAGAAGACATTACCAATTTGAAATATTATGATTAAGCAGTTAGCATAAACTTTAGCAAAACAACATACAGTTACTATATTTATATCTTCATTGCTTTGGTCTCTAAGTGTTAGCAAATGCTATTACCATACAAATAGAAGAGAAAAATTTAAACTCTATCTTCCATATTCTAGGGACAAGAAAAATACATTCCACAAGTTGCCATCTTGCCTCTGGGAACAGGCAATGACCTCTCCAATACGTTGGGCTGGGGCACAAGTTATGCGGGAGAAATCCCAGTCGCACAGGTTTTAAGAAATGTGATGGAAGCAGAAGGAATTAAACTGGACAGGTAAGTTACACTTTCCAAAAAAAAAGTAGATTTTTGAGCTTTGAGAATATTGTTTGGTTTATAAATGAAGTCTTTTGTAAGTTATAAAGTTAAATGTAATTGAAAAGTGAAAGACTAGCCCGGCTAGTGTGGCTCACTGGTTGAGCGTCGACCCATGCACCAAGAGGTTGCCAGTTCAATTCCCGGTTAGGGCACATGCCTAGGTTGTGGGCCCAGTCCCCAGTGGAGGGCATGCTGGAGGCTGCCAATCGATGTTCTCTCTCTTCGATGTTTCTATCTCTCTCCCTCTCTCTTCCTCTCTCTCTAAAGTCAATAAAGAAAAAAAAGTGAAAGACTGTGTGAGTTGTACTTATACATTGATGCTCATGCTTTATTTTGTTGCTGTATTATTTTCTTGTTATATAAGGACTGAAGTCAGCCCTGGCCGGTTTGGCTCAGTGGTTAGAGCGTCGGCCTGAGGTCGAGAGAGACCTGGGTTCAGTTCCCTCTAAGCTATGTACCTCAGTTGCAGTTTGTCCCCAGCCCTGGTTGAGTCATGCAGGTGGCAACCACTGGATGTGTCCCTTTCGCGCCGTCGTTTCTCTCTCTCTCCCTCCCACTCTATCTGACCAAAAATGGAAAAATGTCCTCAGGCGAGGATAAAAAAAAAAAAAAAAAAAGGACTGAAGTCATAAGTTAGGCTGAATACTGATCTCAAAATGTACATACTCACTTAGATGTGCTTATTTTTTCAAATGTTATTTTACTAGAAGGCCCTCATCTCCCAGGTATCCAGAGTTGATTGGTAATAATTATAGTTAATTTAGAAATAATGAATTTTTTAACTTGTTTTTTTAGATGGAAAGTCCAAGTAACAAATAAAGGATACTACAACCTGAGAAAACCCAAGGTACGTTTTCAGGGCTTCAGCTGGGAGTGTTCCGGGGAACATGAGGGAGTGCCTCCCAGTACGAGACACGGCACCATGGTGGGCACTGGGACGCGGCGCTCCTCCTGAGCGAGCTGTCATGGAGCAGCAGAGACACCCCGGGACTCGGAGCTGAGCACGACTCTCAGGTTGGACCGTACAGAGCCGTGGGAGAGCCAGCGCAGGGGGGTGCCCAGTTCGGCCTGGGAGATCAGGCTGGAGGATTTCAGGGGCGGTCACATGTGAGTTGGTCCTTAAGAGGTAAATACAATTTAGATCAACAAAGAAAGGATCAGGACTTTCCAGGCAAAAGAAATAGAGACTAGAGGGTACAAATCATGGTTAGCAACTAGCAAATCATACAGAGAGCGCAGATCTGCATTTTTAAAAGATGCTCTGGCTCTCACCACATCGCCAGTGCCTGCGCCGCATGCAGCTTCTCGCCTCTCCTCTCCCCGCCAAAGCCTGGGGACGGCGAGAAGCCGGGACCACGTTCCCACGCAACCCTGCTGGCTTCACTGCAAAGGTGAAACAGAATTTAGAAACTTTATTGTTTGGCTGGAAGACCAGAAAACCAAACACTACAAGACTGAAGACAGAGGTAATTTAAGAAACATCCACAGCAGCGACTGGCCCAAGCTCTTTGAACAGTATCTTACAGATGTTAACTATCTTTTCAAGATTCAAGATCAACAAGAAGCAGTTGGCTGGCTTCTTGGTTTAGCTGTTAGACTTGAATGGGAGAGAATGCTAAAAAATACAAGGACTCAGTTCCTGATAATACAAAAATGCCAACAATGCAGCTAACAATGCAGAGCCATTGACCAATTTGGATGTAAACAATCCTGATTTTAAGGCTGGTGGAATGGCTTTGGCTGACCTTCAGATTCAGCATCACAATGACGACCTGGTAACGCTTAAGGCAACTTGAGTTTTGGTCCAGGAGCGCGGAACATAAGACACCACTGCTAAAGCAAATCGCACAAAAGAGGGCTTACGTTGCTTCAGACGAGCACATCCTTGGTTTTGACACAGGAGATGCAGCTCTGAATGGAGCGGCTCCACCTCTTGCTGCGTGTAGAAGAGCTCAGAGCCACAGACGGCAGCCAGTAAGGCCGGGGCAGCTGTGCAGGCAGTCACTGCCCATCCAGAGACAGCCCTCAGACGGGGGAAGTTGAAAGATGAACACTGGGATTTCAGCCTCTTGCCTACTTAGTACATTTGGGGACCATGTATGCCCTGGTATGTGTTTCAGAATCAAACGTCACATTTTCAAGGGAGGAATCCCAGAAAATCGATTATGTTCTAGCGATTTACCATCATTCCTTCTTCATGAATAAAGTTTGGGAAGTGAGGGTGTAGAGGTGCTCTGGAGCTCGTGCGAAAACTGTAGAAACCTGCACGAGGGCAAAACAAGGGGGATGTTAGGATGAGGATAGTTCAGGCATTTTAGGGGTAGAACTGCTCAAGACTTGGCACCTGGTTGGTATTAGGGGAAGACAGGAAATACATGTTACTTCCAGGTTTCTAGTTTTATGACTGGAGGTGTGGAAATGACATAAGGTAAGAAAAATAGAGTTTCGTGTTTGAGTAGGAAGAAAATGAGTTAGATTTTGAGCCTTGAGGCTGTGGTGCATTGAACAAGAAGTTGGACATTCAGGCTTATTACTCAGGAACAAGACAGAGCTGGGGATGTAGTTTGAGGAATCCAGGCTGGGCCGGGAGGTCAGATCAACCAGGGGGGTCCCAGTAGCCTGGGTTGAGACTATAAAAGCAGATGTACTAGGAACACGGGTGGAAAGCCCAGGTGCAAAGCAGAGCTATTCCAGATGATAAGATCTGCGATGCAGCATACTGAACAGAGACGGAAAGGGAGAGACTCATATCTATACGTATCAGCCTTTGAACTGAAGGTTTATTTCTGGAAACGTCACTAGATAGCATCAAACAGCTCTATGTGGAGAGTAAACGCAGAAAGTACTAAATTGTCACAATGAACATAAAGACTAAGATTTGCGTATTGAATACATGACACAGGCTTAGACTGAAGAAGAATCTGTTGCTTATTGTCATCCTTTTCCACAGGAGTTCACAATGAACAACTATTTTTCTGTGGGACCTGACGCTCTCATGGCTCTCAATTTTCATGCTCATCGTGAGAAGTCGCCATCTCTGTTTTCTAGCAGAATTCTTAATAAGGTGTGTTGGATAAAATAACATTTCCTGCTTAGACTGAAGGTACAGTAAATATCTATAGTTCCATTATATCTAACACCCTTTCAGACTCAGACAAAACTAACTTAGGGAAACACTGACCTGCTCTGTTTTGTGGAAGACTGTCAAAGTAGATACTTAGGTGTGTTTTATTAAAGTATTTTATAACTATGGCAAAATGTTTTATTTAAAGTTGGCGTGTTTTATAGCATATTTGCTTAGAGGGCAACTAAGTGGAATATACAATAGCTTATCTTACTTAAATAGCAACTGATATTGGAAAGAAATTTTAGGCAGGATACATTTTTGGTCAAGTCAGTGGAAAAATAGATTCCATTGGCTTGAAAAAACTCGAAAAAGCAGGTAAGGTCAGAGAAGGAGCCATGTGTATACCATGGCTTTTTTTTTTTTTTTTTTTGGTACATGCCCCTAGCGGGAACTGAACCCAGGACTCTCTGGTCCGCAGGCCAACGCTCTAGCCGCTGAGCCAAACTGGCCAGGGCTCTACCATGGCTTTTTTTTTTTATATCCTCACCCAAGGACATTTTTTTCATTTTTTGTTCAGATAGAGTGGGAGGGAGGGAGAGAGAGAGAAACATCGACGTGAAAGGCACACATCAAGTGGCTGCCACCCGCACGACCCAACCAAGGCCAGGGACAAACTGCAACCGAGATACATGCCCTTAGTGGGAACAGAACCTGGATCTCTCTGGACAGCAGGCCGATGCTCTAACCACTGAGCCAAACTGGCCAAGGCTATTCCACGGCTTTTATCCAAGATCATGGCTCTGGTTTTTAGTGCAGGTGATTCATGACTGTTAGTCATTGAGGAGTAGAATGTGAAAAATAAATGCAAAACAGTTTTGTTCCTGGTTCTATTTTACAACTATTTCAAATTCACAAATAGTTTCCTCTTATTAATGTAGGTACTAAGGCAGTAAGTATTGCTGTTTATATAATTGGTAATTAACAACATTTTCAGTGCTTCCAATCAACCTATTTATATTCAAAGGTGATTATAAAATGTTCACTAGATTTATCCTTAAGTGATCTGAAGTTCTAGAAAAAGGTGGCATTTTCTAATTTTAATATATGTTTCTTTATAAAATGTAGCTTTTTTGATAAATTGGGAGAAAACACCATTTAGGTACAAACCACCTCTATCCCATATCCTGCCTGAAAAACAGGCTAAACTCAAAAGTAATGGTTGCCCTTCTTCCCACAGGGTCAGTCTACTTTAGGGAAACAGCCCAGCACTCGTGTCAGGGAGCTTTGGTACTGTGTCTTTTTCTTGCTTACAGGTCGTTAGATTGCTTTAATATCATATTTTCTGTTCATTTCTCATAGGCTGTTTACTTATTCTATGGAACCAAAGATTGTTTAGTGCAAGAATGTAAAGATTTGAATAAAAAAGTTGAGGTAAGCTTTTAAAGTTTAGGTGGTCTCTGGATTATGAACATTTTTTTTTAACAGAAATGCTGAATTTAATTCACACATTTTGCTAACAACACATATGGCATACTTATTGTGTGTCAGATACTTTACTAACTGCTTTATATACATTATCTCACTAAATTAAGTAATTTGTCCAAAACACACATAATTGGGATTTGAATCGGGTTTGTATAACTCCAGAGTCTGTTTAATTCGTATGCTGAACAGTTTCCATTCATCCATGCTGACTGGTGTGAAGGTATCTGACACAGTGCCTGACTCATCGTGGACTCTCAGAGGAGACTTAAACCCTAGTTTAATTCCTGTTATGGTGGTGATACATCTCTCTTACAAAGTAAAAATGTCTAAGCAGTAAAAATAGGATATTAACGATTGCTTACGGCTACAATATTTCTGACATCATAATATGGCAAAGTCTAGTATATATTCCTTGCTTGTTTACAAAAAGAATTTATAATGGTCAATAGCACTGACAAACACATTAAAACAGAAAAACCTAGAACTAGCAAAATAAGTAAAAAAGACTCACAGTTAGTAGCTATGGCACAGAAGAATGGCAAGATTGTCCATTTAAAAAGCTTCCTTCTGCTTTGTCATATTTCCTTTGTCTTGGGCTTTGATAGCATTGGTAGAGTAAAGCATGGGAGGTAGCCTTTTATTTTTTTGTCTGATATATATTTATACAAAAATATTTGTGAAGCCTCCTACAAAATGCCAGGCACTGTCCTAGGAACTGGGGATACAATGATACATCGCTTGTTTGAAGTTATAGTCTTGGTAGAAGTCTTGGTAGAGAAGAAAGACATTTAAACCACATCGAAATACAATATGAGAAGGTATGTGATAAGGAAAGCATGCTATCTCATGGGAATAAATAAGAGATACATTACCCAGGACCTGGCAAAACTGTCTAGGGAAAGTGACTGTAACAAAGAAGTCTCTCTGGAGGAAGTGACAAACTGGAATCTGAAAATTAAGTAAGAGTTAGCTAAGTAAAGAAGGAGGTGAAAATTGTTCTGGGCTAAGAACAGCATATGCAAGGCCCAGCGGCAAGAGAGAACATGGCATATTCTAGTGAGTTCAAGCTGCAGCATGGCTTGCAGAAGGGAAAGTGACACGAGCTGAGGCTGGAGACATGGACAGAGGCCAAATCACAGAGGGGTCCTATTGGCCTGTTAAGAAACTTGGATTTCATCATGAGCACTAAGGCACGCCATTGAAGGGTTGTGTTTGGGGGATGACATATTTGCATTTTATTTTACTGATTTTTAGAGAGAGAGGAAGGAAGAGAGGAAAAGAGATAGAAACATTGATGAGAGAGAAACATCAGTCGACTGCCTCCTGCATGCCCCCCACTGGAGATCAAGCCCACAACCTGGGCATGTGCCCTGACTGGGAATCAAACTGGAGACCTCTTGGTGCATGGGTCAACGCTCAACCACTGAGCCATACCAGCCGGGCAACATATTTGCATTTCATGTGTCAATCCAACTGCTCTGTGAGAAATGAGTAAGGAAAGGAAAGTTAAATGGTGCTGGACTAGGAAACCACCAGGAATGATGGAGAGGATTAGATAATCTAGAGGATTAGAAGTAGCATCAGCTGTCTTTAGTGATTAGTTGGATATGGAGGGTAAAGGCAGAGAAGTCAAAGAGAACTCCCTGGTTCCTGGTTTAAGCAACTCAGAGGTTGATGCTACTCTTCTCGGGAAAGTCGATGGGTAGGGGGTTGCAGAGAAGATCCTTAATTCAGTTTTGTACATGGGCGTTTAGGTGCCACAGTCCATTGGAAGTGTTGCATGGACAATTTGGACACACAGATCTGGCCCAGTTCACTTTCCTGGACCAGCAGAACCGAGCTGTCAGCACAGAGATAGCCACTGGTGTGAAAGTGGCCGAGATTTTCCTCAGAGTCTGTAGATGGGAAGAGAAAGGAAGTTAGTAAATGGTTAGGAAGCGGTCAGCATGGGCAGGAGAGGAGCTCTCAGTCATGACGGGAAACCCAGAGAAGCAGTCTGGTTCCCAGACAGCAAAGGGAGAGCGTATTTCAGCAAAGGAGGGAGCCGCTCAAACGGCAACGTAAAGAGGCCTGAAAAAACAACGGGGTTTAACAAAAAGGATGTGCCCTGGCCAGTTTGGCTCAGCGGTTAGAGCGTCGGTCTGCGGTCCTGAGAGACCCGGGTTCGGTTCCCGCTAAGGATACGTACTTCGGTTGCAGTTTGTCCCCGGCCCTGGTCGGTCGTGTGGGTGGCAGCCACTCGATGTGTCCCTTCACGTCGATGTTTCTCTCTCTCTCTCTGTTCCTCTCTCTCCCTCCCACTCTACCTGAACAAAAAATGGAAAAATGTCCTCGGGTGAGGATTAAAAAAAAAAAAAAAAAGGATGTAATTGTTGACCTTGGGGGGGATTTATTTGTTGTCATTTGTTTATCGTAATAAACATTGAACAGGCGGGAAAGGCCAGATCACCTTGAGTGAGGAAGTGGTCTTGCATGTGTATCTCACATCACGTGTACATGAAAATAGACGTGAATTCTAAGTGGACGTGTCTTCAAATCTTGTGCCCTGTAGTAACTAACTGCTTGGATTTCTTTAAAGCTAGAACTGGACGGCGAGCGAGTAGAACTGCCTAATTTGGAAGGTATTATAGTTCTGAACATTGGCTACTGGGGAGGCGGCTGCAGACTGTGGGAAGGGATGGGAGACGAGACTTACCCCCTGGCCAGGTATGTACATTTGAGATCTGTTCTATGTCACTGTTTTCTACTTTTGAGCAGTCTATTGTTCTTTATAATCACTTTTTTCTCTGATTTCCTTTTTTGTATACCTCATTAATATAAATATTTAATAAGTTGATGGTCTACCTATGTTAAAAGAAATAACTGTCCTAACGGGACTGATTTTATTTTATTGCACCGTATAATCCATATTTCCTTTTTCTCATTTTAGGCATGATGATGGTTTACTGGAAGTCGTTGGAGTATATGGGTCTTTCCACTGCGCTCAGATCCAAGTGAAACTGGCAAACCCTTTCCGAATAGGACAGGCACATACAGTGCGGGTGGGTGACGGCTCCAGCAGGCCCATCGGCCCAAGCATCTCTAAGCCCTTGATCTGTAGGGAAATCTGCACCCTAGCTTTCCTTAAACAGTGGTTTACAGCCCGTGCTGCAGATCAGCTTCCCAGGGGCTCGGGTGGGAGGAAATGAGGCACTCAATCCAGTTGAAGAAATAAAGCATTCAACAATTCAGATTAATTTGCTCAGAATGAAATGCTAAGAAATGTCCCTAAGGAGAGGTAAAGGAGTGATGTTATTAAGGAAGACCTTTCTCAACTTTTGGGGACTGACTTTTCTCATTCTTTGTTCCTTAACACCAGCTGATTTTAAAGTGCTCGATGATGCCAATGCAGGTGGATGGGGAGCCGTGGGCCCAAGGGCCCTGCACTGTCACCATCACTCACAAGACACATGCGTTGATGTTATATTTCTCCGGAGAACAAACGGATGATGACGTCTCCAGTACTTCGGATCAAGAGGACATAAAGGATACTGAGTAGTTGGATGAGGAAATGAAAACTTGCAATAGAGTTCTCACAAACAAGTAAATACATGTTCATCCAAAAGTAGAAATTCTCTATCAACATTTTAGTCTTTATTTCACCAGTAGAATAAGTATATATTTCTGTAAATAGCATTCCAAAAAACAGCCAAACTTCCAGTTGTTTACTAATGCCTGTTTTGTCTTTTGTGTTTTAGCAAAACATTTTGATCATATAGTACTTGTTTTAAAAAGTCACAGAACTTTACATGAAAGTGAAGTGTTTTGTTTGTTTTTTTGCTTTATGTATGAGAGTGAGGCTCACACTGAAGGGCGCCCCTCATTCTTGAACCACATGTTTGATGGACATAGTATACATCCAACAAGGTGTGGGTGGGAAAATCACTTCCATTTGAATTTTTAAATATTAACTTTTTTTTGAAGGGAGATGGTTAGTTTCCAACCAGTGTGGTTAATGCCAGGCACCCTCCTGCAGCATGCTTCTCCTAAGATTTCCTACAGCCCAGCACCAAGTGGATCCAGAAATATTTCTTTCCAGGAAACCCTAAAAAGAGAAATGTAAAAGAAAGACAATACCGAAAATTTGTATTAATGATGTTTATTTTAGGAGCATTTTCAGACCCCCCGATTGTTGTTTGGTAACCCTGGTAATGACCATGTCAGGCTGCTGGGATCCAGCATCTTGTTTAGAACCCAGATGGCCACATGGTGAGCTGGCAACAACGAACACTCAGGTCCTTCGGATTGAGAGTTATGGCTTCCAAGCTGGACAGTTCACCAACTTCTCTTTCGATTTAAAAGAAAATGTCAGCAATTCAAAAAATGTACTAAAGAAAATTTACTAGTCATATTAATTTCACAAAAACAGTTTGATAATGGCTGATAAGTTGTAAAAAGTCAGTGGTCTAGTAGTTTGAATACAGTAGTCTTTTATAGCCAAAGTACTTAACAGAATTTCCCTTTGGGGAAGTGACAAAATCCTCTGCTAAAATGTTTCTATCATATTTATTTTAGAATGAGAGAGATATATTTTTTTACTTATTTATTTTCTTTATTGTAGTAACCTGTTAAGTTTAGTGTTTAAAAGATACGGTTTTATTTAATAAATTAATCACATAAATTCTAGTCATAATTAGATAGACATGTAGCCTATTGACTAATAAAATCCTATAATTTAATTATCCTAACAGGTGTTCTTCAGAAACATTCCTCAATTTAAAGGGGGGGTGAAAACACTGGCAAATACTTTTGGATAACTACTCGTCTTGTTTCGTCGTTTTATTTGACCCTCAATTGCCAAACACTTACTGAAGGGCTAGTCTCGTGGTTACCCATTAGGGGGTGCTCTTCTGTTGTTAACTAAACTGCTCCCTCCGTGCAGGGGTTAAGCAGACTCATTGGGCCTCTACCCTGGTGTTTTTTAACAAATGGCCTGTTTGTGTGCTTGCTGGTCTTATATAACATTAATCTCTGAAAGATTAAAATGTATCCCTCAAAACAATATTAGCTCTCCTTAAGGATCTGTTATGAATCTGTCATTCGTGAATTGCTGTAAACTTCCATTTCAGTCACCTGCAGGCCCAGGAATAACCTAGGACTGTATACAGTAGTCAGGACAATATATAAAATACTTCCGTTCTGCTTAAATTAAACTCTTCCCCATCTCGACAGGAAATGCTAAATGCTAGTACTGAGAGAGGTTTGTGAGCAGGTCTGTTCTCACAATGTTCATACACCTGGACAGTGATGACAGAGTGTATGGATTTTCTCTATGGCTGATCATGTTTTGAGTATAATGAGTTTTATTCTTTAATTCATGGTCAGAATTGTTACAGATACCACCTTTTACAAATACTGGTTGGCAAAAGTAGGTTTACAGTTGAGTATGTGGAAGCTTTTTGTATTATTATTTATTAATTTATTGTATTATTTTCCATACAAACAGCTATAAACCTACTTTTTCCCACCCTTGTATACTGTTAAATTCATTTTGCTTTAGATTATTTTATCTATAATTCATAGTGCTAATTATAGAATCAAAGTATGTGGTTAATTTGGGATACCAGAATTAAAATAATCAAAATAGCTATGTAGTTTTTTTTATTGTTAAAACTGAACTCTTACCATAATACTACATTGAATTTATAACAGGTTTATATACAGCGCACTCATTTATTTAAACAAATTGGATTTTCAGTTTTCATAAACTAGTGAGGTTTTATTTTTCTCTACTGACCCTTAGTAAAATTTTTCTGTTGCCTTATTTACTCATTCAGACTTAATATTTATTTAAGAAAGTTATTTGAAAATACCATATTATAAAACATTTTAGCAAAATTCACTGTTTTATGTGGGGTTTTTTTTAATGTCTTTATTGATTTATTTAGAGAGAGGAAGGGAGAGATAGATAGAAACATCGATGGGATAGAAATACATCGATCGGCTGCCTCCTGCACACCCCCCACCGGGGACGGAGCCAGCATCCTGGGCATGTGCCCCGACTGGGATTCAAACCGGGACTTCTCAGTCCATGGGACGATGCCCAGTCCACTGAGCCACAATGGCTGGGCCAAAATTCACGTTTTTGGCACATTTTCCCAGCATTTCAAATATATAGACATGTGCCTAGTTTAAAATAATTATAATTTATAAGACTCATGTTTGCAAGTTATATATTAGGGTAGCAATTGTTTACATTACCAGAAATTCTACACTTTACAAAAGATAATTTGCCCCCAAATTTCCACGTTGCATTTGAAATTGTCTTGATTTTTTTTTTTAATAATAGCTTCTATATTCTCAGGAAGAAATATATGAAGTAAAGCATATCTCCATGTCTGTTCTGATTTTTCTCCTCTTTTACTGTCCTCATGCATTCCTAACTCCTGATAAATGTAGTGGCTTCAATACCGAATACCTGGCAGCACTTCTATAAGTAAACCGTGATCACTTCCATGCTTGGTTGCATTCAGTAAAAATCCAGCTGACTTGTGTTTTATAATACAGGTTGTCTAATGGTAAGATTATGTGACCTTAAGTTTGTTTTAGGTTTTCTGCAACAATTAGATGTGAACCCTTAATGTCACTAATGTTTATAAAAGTTTTATAGTCAGAAGTATTTATTTTTACTTTTTAAGGTGTGTCAGGAACATGTATAGTATTTGCATTTTAAAATATGTTTGCCTACTTAGAGTTGTAAAATATGCTGTGACTCAGAAATTGTGAAGTCCTCTTTGCACTGTGAAAATGAGCACTACCAGCATGTCAAAAAGAGAGTCTGCGTTTGCAACACAAAGTAAAATTGTATTTAACGAACATAAAGGAATTTTAAATTGGCACTAACTAGAAAACTTTGAAGGTTATATTAATTTACAGATTCATGTGGATCCAAATACATAATCTGTACTTGTTCAGCTGAAAAGCTCAGTAGAATGGGTGGCAGTTTTGTGTGGTTTTCCCTTGAAATGATCATATGGAAGCAAGAACCAGCACTTTATATTCAGAACTTTTTTAACTCTACCGAATTATGGAAAATGGAATGTGGGTAGATTGATTTTAAAAATCTAGAAATTGTAAAAGAAAAAGTAGTTGTTACTCTCTCCCAATCTGAATGAAGGCGTTTTCTCAGCAACAAAAAGGAAGCGTCTGTTTTGGTTTTGCTTTCTCAAAGTGTGCCCCTGCCTTTCTCAAATTTTCCTTGTAAGGCCCATTTCCTGTGTGTGAGAGAAGGAGAATGCAGGCTGTCTGCAGCCTCAGAACCAGCTGGGAGCTCGTGGGCAGCTTGGGCGCCTAAGCCCAGCACCCTTGACTTCATGAACCAGTGTGTCTGCAGATGGGACATGGGCATCTCGGGCTTTGTCCACCAGCCTTTGGGGCGCTTCTGATGAACACACAGTTTAAAGCTATTGGCCTGTACGCATGTGCTCACCTGGGGCTTCTGCCAGATGGATACCATGCAGAAAAATTGAATTAATTGGATGTTCTTAAAATTGTTTGTTCTGCCCTGGCTGGTTTGGCTCAACGGTTGGAATGTCGGCCCATGGACCAAAGAGCTGCGGGTTCGATTCCGGTCAAGGCCACATACCTCGGTTGCAGTTCGTCCCCGTCTCTGGTCCAGGTTGTGCGGGAGGCAACCAGTCAATGTGTCTCTTTCACATCAATGTTTCTCTCTCTCCCTCCCTCCCTCCCACTCTATCTGAAGAAAAAGAAAATTGTTTCTTCACTACACTAACTGCCCTCCTCCCCACAAATGTTTCTTTTACAGAAAGTCCATGGGAAAACTTGCTTGTATCCTGTCCAAACTGACATATTTTTCTAAACTCTTGTCACAAAAACTGGTGGCCTCCGGTTCTCACGTGGAGCCGCAGGCTTTGGCCCCTGGCCCTCGGGTCTCTGAGGACTGGGGTGGACGCCACGCCCTGGGGCTCCCGCATCACCGCAGCCACTGCCGCCCATGCCGCCCAGAGGAGTTCCGGGGACAACGTCCTTCTCAACAGAAGGATAAAAGATCCCACTATTTTCCAAAGGGTTTGGTGGCCATTGCTCTAATGACTGTTACCTGGTTAATTTTCTACTGGTTTTCACGTATTCAGAAACCTCATGTTTTTGGTGAGAATAATATTTCGGTGTCGGTTGCTGCTCAGAATACGGTCGCCGGGTATGTCGCAGGTTCAGAGCGTCTGTCAGGTGGGACAGCACTGCTCGGCCGCTGTCCGCGCTTTCCCATCTCACTGCGGCTCAGAAACGCCGGTGCATCCATCTCAGCCGTGCAAATGCTCAGCACGCTCCCCGTGGCCCTGACTGTGCCAGGGCGGCTGGCAGGCCTCAGGAAGGCACATTCCAGGGTTCTAGGGAAAGCAGACGTCACCCTCTCACACGGAAGTTGGAGTGTGTCTTAGACGAGGGGCACTTCCTCAGTGTGCAAGGACGCCCCGGCCGCCTGGCCACTGAAGGGCCGTGTCAGCAGGGCGCGCCTACCAGATCAACTATGGTCTAGGAAGTGTCACCACGCGGTACTTTCTGATGACTGTCACGGAATGTTGAGAGAGTTGGAAAGTTAGGTTGCCTTTCTTGTTCCCCCAGCATTGCCCAGGCAAGCTGGCATCCAGATCAGATGCGGAGGAAGAAAGGGCCTTTGTGCAGTTGGATGACACTGACTCATAAGGACATTTGTTCTCATTACTCCAGTTCTGGGCTCTGGCAAGAGTCTTTCTCTTGACATTGATCTGCTTAAGTGAGCCCTGCGGGCAATTGGCACTCGTGTAATTCGGTTTTAAGCAAGTTCAGAGCAGCCGGGGTCCTTGGCCTTGATACTCTTGCAGGAGAACTGACAGAACCAGATCTGAGTTCACAGTACCCAGGACACCGGTAAGGCTCCAGCTATGCGGCCAGCTGGCCTCTCTTTCTCCCGCTCTGGCCACCATACCGGGTACCTACCACTTAATTACTCTGTATTCATTGCTTTTGTTGTGTTGGGTCTATATTGTGGTCATTGCCCACAGACAGAAATGTGAATTAAAGTGTTTGATATGTTGAAGGTGTTTGCTTGTTTTTTAATAAAACTGAAAGTGCAGCAATGAAAAAGTATGGTCTGCCTGGCCGGTGTGGCTCAGTGGAATGAGCGTCGTCCCATGGACTGAGAGGTCCCGGTTCCATTCCCAGCCAGGGCACATGCCCAGGTTTCAAGCTTGATCCCCATTAGGGGACATGCAAGAGGCGGCTGATCCATGTTTCTCTCTCACATTGATGTTTCTATCTCTCCCTCCCCCTCTCTCTAAAAAGTCAATAAAAATAAAAGTATGATCGTGCCCTAGCCAGTGTGGCCCAGTTGGTTGAGCATGGTCTGTGTCAGTTACATTCCGGTCAGGGATCGTCCCCAGAAAGGGTTGTGCAGGAGGAGGCAGCTGATCGATGTTTCTCTGTCTCACAATGTTTCTCTCCCTCCCCTTCCCCTCTAAAATCAATAAAAATATATTTAAAATATATATGATCTTGTTTTGGACACGACAATGAAAAAATAAGTAGCTTTGAGTCAGTTTCACAGAAGACAGTCCTTGGACAAACAATATGTGGCAAATTTTGGGTCAGATACTTTTGGACGGGACAGAAAATTTTATTTTGTATGGCTCTTGTAGCCTGGGAGGACAGCATGTGTATCCACCTGAGTAACACACAGGAGAGGCATACATTTACATGCTTACAGACTGGCTCCTGGCACAGCAGAGAAGTGGAATGAAATAAATGACGCGATTTCATCTCATGTTCTGTCAGTACAGTGGAAAGAATGTATTTGAAATATCCAGGTTAAAAACCCAGCCTCTGCCATTATTTAACATTGGACAAGTTACTTGTTCTGCACGAACCTCAATTTCCTTTATAAACGTGGAGTTAATGCCCACTAGGGGTTGCAAACTCAAATGCTAAGATAACAGGGCAGGTGGCCAAGGTAGGAGTGTGGGGGACCGTGTAAAACCAGAGAGCCGCTGATGGCAGGAAATCAGGGACAGTGTGAACAGAACTCATTTTCCTAGAAAAGACAGAAACTTGGACTCCTGTCATCTAATTTTTAAATACTGGTTGGCCACAACTGATTACCTGTAGTCTCCCCACAGGGTTATATGATGATTATAGTTGGGGGGCAGGGGAAATGAAAGCATTTTCATACACCTGGCAAAAATGTGCATTTCCTTCCATTTGAATTTGTATAAATCATTTTGGTTTTATCAGCTGTGATCTGGATTTCACCTAACATTTTGCAGCATATAAAATTTTTAATTCATTTCATTGGGTATTAGAGGAAGGAGATTCTGTGGTCCAGCTTCACTCGGTCATCTTTATCCAGAAGTCTGTTTCTACAAATTTTGTAAAATAACATAAAAAATCACTGCTCACT